TGTGACATATTCATATAGCAAAGTATTACTTAATATGGAAAAGAAATGAAGAAGCTAGGTGGCTCAGTGGTAGACTGGGTGACTAATGTGTATAAAGCCTTGAGTTTGATGCCCAGCACCACAAAAAATATAGTAAAAGAAGTATCAGGCCATGAAAAGCATGAATTATTAAATATGTATTAAATACATGTTACAAAGTAGAAGAGCCATTTGAGAGGGTGCATACTGTATGCTACTAATCATGTAACATTTAGAAAGGGGAAAACTACAAAAACAATAAGATCAGTAATCAATCACTGTTTTAAATTCCCAAACAGCCCAATTCAAGAGATGAAAATGGACATGTACTTATTGGCCATTTGTATAGCTTGCTTACACCCCCCCCCCCCAAAAAAAAAAAATAGCGAGAGATAAATACAGGTAGTGAACAAGTACAAAACTAGAACAAGGTGCACAACATCACTGACCATTAAAGAAATGTAAATCAAAACCACAGTGAGATACCACTCCATATCCCCTAGGATGGCTGTTATTAAGAAAAAATAAATAACACACCCAAGTGTTGAGGACAATGAGGACAAGCTAGAACTCTGGGGCACTGCTGGGACAGCACGCTGGTGGTAAAACCTCGCAGTTACTGTGGAAAATGGAGCAGCTGCTGTGTGAAAGACTCTGGCAATTCTTCTGAAGTTAAAGATAGAATTGCCATAATGAGCCAGCAATTGCACTCCTAGTTACATGCCCAAAGGAGAAGAAAGCAGATACTTAAACAGACACCTCACACACCGGTGTTTGCAGTAGTTTCACAAGTCAAATGGTGGAAACAACCCAAATGTCCATCAACAGATTAATGAGTAAGCAAAAAGATAGTATATATCTACAAAGGAATATTATTCAGCCAGAAAATTGAATGAAATTCCACTGCAACATGGATAAATCTTGAAATCATTCTAAGCAAAATAAGTCAAATACAAAAGGACACATCTTACATGATTTCATTTATATGAGATACTAGAATAGTATGTTCATAGAAACAGAAAGGAAACAAGGCTAGGAACCATGGTGGCACATGCCTGTAACCCCAACATTCAGGAGGCTGAGGCAGGAGGATCACCCCAAGTTCAAGGCCAGCCTGGGCTGAATAATGGGTTCAAAGCCAGCCTGAACTACTTAGCAAGACCCTGTCAAAGAAAAAAAGAGATAGGATGGAAGTTTTCAGGGTTTGGGGAGGAAAATGGTAACTAATTTAATAGGTATAGTTTCTCTTTGGGATACTTTAAATTGTGGAAATAGGTAGTGGGGATTGCCACACAACACTGTGAATGTATTTAATGAATTACATACTTTTAAATGACTAAAATGGTGAGTTTTATGTTATCACTTTTTCAAATTTTTATTTTTGTAATTTAAAGACAGGATCTTGTCATAGAGTCCAAACTTGCTATGCAGCTCATTGTTTTAAAAAATCAGCAATATTGAAATGTTTGTGGGAAGGGAAGAATAGATGGGAGAAAAGGGTCTCTTGGAGTAGTGAAATTATTCTGGATAATACTGTAATGGTGGGTACATATTATTATACATTAGTAAAAACCCACAGAATGTATAACACAAACAGGGAACCCTGATCAACAAGGGGCACACAGTGGAAGGAACCATTATAAGGCCTGGAGCTGCCAAATAAGCCTAATTAAATACGGACCTCCCACACCACTAACATCTCCCAGCAGAGCTGCTGGGGGAAGCTAGTGGGGAGCCTGGTCAGTGCTGGTGAAGTCCTGAGCAAGAGTCTGGAGGAAAGGGGCTTCTGTGAGGCCTGCATTACTCTTGGCCCAGCTGCTGTTGCTAAAGATGAAGGCCTCTACTGGGAATGGCTGAAGGACACAGCGGCCCCAGTGCCAAGAGGTCAAACTGCTTTGTGTGGTTGAGGGTGGAGTGGTTCCCCCTTGTGATGCTCCGTGGCAGGCACTCAATCACCCACCCAGCACAGAGCCCCAGCATCTGCAGCTGAGCTGGGGCTATGGTTTTTCTGCCATTAAGATTAGCATGACAAGATTGATCAAAGCAAGGTGATGTCTTACATATTCATGCCTGTGATCAGCAGATTCTATGACCTCCCTGCTAGGATGAAGGGAGCATGTAAACAGTTAAATAATCATGGACGTCAGTTGCCTGAAATTACCGTGATAGAAATCTGTTGGGGTTGACAGGTTATTGTGGGGTCATGGGAAAAACCTGCTCCACCCTAAACCAGGATGTGTGCATACAAACCCGGTTTCCTACCTACTGCCATCACTTTTCTAAGTCCCTTCATTCTGGGCCTCTTTCTGGTCTCCTCACTGTGGCTGCCTGCCCGCGGAGCTCCCACTGGGCAGGCAGGATATGCCTGTCGCAAGGCCTCTTTTGATCTTTGGGGATATTTCAGGAAAACACCTGAGAGCGCTGGCTTAGCAGGCTTGGGCCTTAGTTTCTTTGCTCTGGAGGCCAGCTAGGGGCTGGGCTTCTATTGTTTAGGAACAGAATCAACTTTATGGGGGGAAGGAACCATGCTTCTTTCTATATGGGCTTTCTGCAACCTGCTTGATGTGGACACACTCTGCTAAACAGTGGGGTTCTGTCAGAGGAAGCAAGCTTTCCTGGCTGGATGTAATGTTAGCTGATCCTGGATTTCCTCAGGAACCTTGTTCTTCATGCCATATTAAGGAAGCCCAGCACATCCTGCCTTTATTGTAACCCTTGCATCCTCTGTTGGAAAGAGGATACAGAGATGCCACCTTCTGAGAGATACTAGGTGGCCAAACTTAGGCCCACTCTGCTCACTCAGAGACACCTCTTTGTCTTGCTTCCAGGTCTCTCCTCCCATCTGTTCCTAAATTCTCCTTGTCCTCACAGTTCTAGGGCGCCAGCCCTGTCTAGTTCCTCTGACTCCAGCAGCATGCTCTTGCTCAGGATCCAGCGTGCTTACACGGACCTACAAGGCCTTGCACCATCTGACCCCTGACTGCTTTTACATCACCCTTAACTACTTTGTCCATTGATCGCTCTGCCTTGGGCTTATTGGTCTTATTGTTCCATCTAACAGAAAGGGCCTGCTCCACCCCAAAACATCTGCCTTTGCTGCAATTCCTGACTGGTAGGTCTTCAGAAATTCCTCTTCCCTAGCTCTCCACATGACCAACCATCTCACCTGCTTGTAGGTTTTTTGTTGTTGTTGTTTGTTTGAATCTAAGGTTTATTTTTATAAGATACATCATCATTTTGTTAATGTCCTGATGTTATGTTTTTGTATTTTAGGGAAAGGTCTATAGGGGTATTCAGGGTCTCACTATTAGATCGGACTCATATGATTCGCCTGTTTACAGCCTCCCAAGAGCTGGGATTATAGGCTGTGCCACCACACCCAGTCTCAATCACCATTTCAGTGCACCTCAGGGGGCAGGCCCAGCACAGAAGGCCCCAGGATCAAATCCCCAGCCCCTGTACCTGCTTGCAGGCGCTTTAATCTGCTGAGTTATTTGGCCGGCCCAATGTTCTGATTTTAGAGGTGACAATGTATGTGCTACCCTATTACAAATATACTTTAATTCTGTATCTATCTGGATTTATTTATTTATTTTTCCTGTAGTTCTTGTTGGTGTTAATGTTTTACTCTTTTCTTGGGATGGGGGGCTGGGAATTGAACTCATGATCTCGCACTTCCTTGGCAGGTGCTATGCCACTAAGCTATATCCCTGGCTGTGTTAATCTTTTAGTGAAAATTCCCTGAACTCCCTACTTAAAAATGTGTCCCCATTCAAGTCATCCTTAAACCCCTTTATCCTGAGTTTTTGCATATATCTGGTCAGCTTCTACATACTTTATTTTTTACTTATACTTTTTATCTCTCTCTTCTGAGCACATTTCTAATATAAGCTCCCTGGGAGCAGCTTTTTCTATCTTTGGTTCACTGCAACATTCCAAATGCCTATGAAAGTACCTGACAAACTGAGCATAGTGGCACATATTGGTAATCCCAGCACTCAGGAAGCTGATGCAGGAGGATTGCAAGTTTGAGGGCAGCCTGGGCTACATATATCTGTATATATAGATAGATTCTCAGTATTTGTTGAAGGAATGAATAAAGAATCACCATTCATTCTGCTTGGCAACCTTACTTTGCTCCTCTACACAATTTAATGTACTTTTTATTATACGGGGACTTCAGTATAACAGTTATACTGAGCAAATCTATGAGTCACCGCTCTCTGACACAGGATGCCACAAATTAACACCACACTCTTGCACAGAGCCTGGGGAAGTTCATCTACTCCTCCACCTCTCCTGGCTACTTCCTGCTTATCCTTTTTTAAATTAAAAATGTGATTCTTGTTAGTACATGTTTGCAATAAATAATAATTACATTTATGGTGGAGAGTTGGTACATGTACCTAACACATTTTAATTCTTTTTCTTCCCCTCCTGTCTCCTCTCCCCTGCTCTGCTCCCTCCAACTCTTGCTCCCCTTCCAATTTGCAAATCAAGACTACATATCACTTCTTTCAGGACATATCCCATGAACAGCCCCTTGCCTCCCAAACTAGGCTAAGTGCAGCCCTATGTATCCACCCATTTGCTCTAACAAACTCTTGCCATATTGCTTCAGTTTTTATTGTCTGGTCTAGATCCCATGAGAAGAGCTGTCTATCGGTCACTATTGTCTCCCCAGTGTCTGCAGTAATGCTTAGAAACAGTGAATACTTAAATATTTGAATTTCTGAACCCAGGACTCATCCTGAACAAGGACTTCTTTCCTGCTCAAGTCCCTTTATTCATAGCCTAGAGTAGGGCTAGTAGGAGCATGTAAAATGCTGACCCATCTGAAATAAAATTTGGTTTAAGCTTATACCACACAAGAGGTATTTCTACTCCCTCTATTCTTGCCATTATACACACATTAAGGAAAAGGAGACACAAACAAGAGGATCTTTGCTTACAGGTATAGAGTATATTTGGAGAATGCATGCCTCACTTTCATGTTAATGAAAATGGCCATATACAGCCTTTTCCATGGGGATGCAGAGTTGGAAAACCTACAAGCTCCATTTGCTTGAAATGAGGCTTCTCCTTGTGTAAACTGATGCCTTCTGCTGATGTGAGAGTTGAGACCTGGGATATATGTCGGTTGGGTGGCACCAGTCAGTTGTCAGATTTTGGAGCTGCTTTGTGAGTGACAAGGGCCCCAGGGCTGACTGCCTTGGGGGGAACGTTGTGGGAGCTGACTGTGTGGGAATCAAGGAAAGTCAAGTGGTGCCCCTTGGCAGTATGGGGAGGCTGGGCCTTAGGGTCCTTGACACTATCTTTGGTGGGGGTTGGAAACTTCTCAACCCCTTTTGTCCTGGATTTGGCCCTTGTCTCAGATTTAGAATGGATAATGGGTTCCTCGTGCCTTTGATCTTTCACTTCAGGGTTAATCCAGTGTGAAAAGAATGTCATCGTATTTTCCAAATCAACTTCTGGAGCACCTGAAAGGGGGAAGATGTTTTGAGTATAGGATCCCCTTACCAGATCCTTCACCTCCTGGATCCCAAAATTCTTGCCCCACACCGAGTTTTGCCCTGGCCCTGTAAAACATGGCCCCAAAACATCTGTCCCTGCAGAGTTTGGATTTGAAAAATGTGGCCCCTTCCAGTACTGGACTTGTAAAATATGGCCCACTAACTGATGTTCCAAAAAGTTGGCACTGTAATGTCTGATCCTTACATCCTGTCAGTTTTGACATTCTTGGGCATTTTTGTTTCAGGGAGATCATTCAGTTTAGTCTAACAGTCTTGTTAGGATCATTATTATATGGTCTTTTAATCCCAAAGAACCCTAGAGAATGTTCTGGGAAAACAAGATGAGGGAGAGGCTGGTGATGGTGCTGGCCTGGAAGAGCAAGCAGGGAAGATGGAGATGGTGACTCCATAGATCCAGACAGATCCTTGTGAGTCTCTGCTCACTCAAGACAACCATGTCAGCTAAACTGACATTCTATCTGAGAAAGATCCTGGATATACATTTGTAAAGTGAGGGCTCTACTATTCTACTTAGAAATCTTCAGTTGATCCCTGAACCTCAAAACAGTGGATTTTTCCTCTGGCTATGGACAGCCCCAAAGCTATACTTCATGGTGATTCCCAGCTACTTTGAATTTTCCTGGGTCTTGTTTTTTCTATTAGGGTAGAGACTTGTTTTTTGCCCTTGGGAAGGCCTGTGCTAAGGTGTTCAGAAATCATCCAGACTAGGTTTCTCACTTTGGCTTCAAGCCATACACAAAGTACCTGGCCCCTGTCATGACCCCACTGGGTTGAGAGATCTCACAGGTGCACTAGGCAGAATCATTGGAGATTGTTCTGGAACTAGGTTGCCTTTGATTTTGCTGCCCTATCTTTAGTTCAAACGTAAATTCCTCTCATAGGCAGAGCCATTCTGTATCTGGGACACATGGCATCCTGGTGAGGTAGGGAGTTCCTAAAGTAATGTTTTCCATTGTTTGTTTAGATCCTAAAGGTTCCCTCAGTGAAGATATTCTTTGGATGGATAAGATGTGTTCCTGTATGCTTTGTCTTTGTGGGACTTCCCCAAATGCATCTTCAGGGATTTCTTTTTCTTTTCTTTTCTTTTCTTTTCTTTTCTTTTCTTTTCTTTTCTTTTCTTTTGTTCTTTCTTTTTCTTTTCTTTCTTTTTTTTGAAATTAAGTTAAGGCAAAATGATTAGGGGTGACAGGAGCTGTCTCTCTGTTGAATCACCATCTCTATTCTCTTGTACTTCAGGCTGGAATACTTATATGCTGCAAAAAGTTCATTGAAATCTTGAAAGCGTTGCTTAGGACTTCATACCCTGCTGCTCAGAGAAACTGAGTCAGAGGTTATGATGCACCCAGGCACCATTTTGTGGCTACATACTGATTGATGATTGCTGAGTCTATGCCCTACAGAGCGCCACAAAATAGGGAGTAGGTAGCCCTGACAGTAATGCAAATATGTCTCTCCCTTCTCACTGATTCCTTGGAACCGGGGCACAGGCATCTGGTAAGATCTATTACTGCTGGCTAAGACCTGTAACTATTTAGGGAGGTACTTCCTGGTATGTGTCTGACCTGGTTGTTAACGTCAGGTCTAGGGGCCTGCTTTCCAGAGGGCAGGAGAACCAAGTTGCTTTTAGGGCCCTGGAAATGCTGTAGACACAATAATTTGCAGTTCTAGCAACTACACACTTGGGCAGGGGTGGTGCCCAGCGGATTCTCCCATATCTGTAATCCATGTGGCTCTGCAACTTTGCTTTGGGCTGAGCAAGCAAGTATGGATGAGCAGTGCTGCCACAGCAGATCAGTACAGTCACTAATCTCCCTGGCCTCTGGGGCTGCAGGACAGGGGAGACTGTATAGGTCAGGATTGTGCTGCTTCAAGCTGAGAGCTGCTGGACAGTGTGCTGAATCTTTGAGTGCAGCTTCAGCAATGGTAAATAAACCACTCTTTCCTTCACTCTGGAAGTCAAAATCCAATAGCCGCTAAGCATGTTCTAGGACAGTGCTGTTCTAGGACTTTTCTGAGGACTGAAATGGGATCTCCTAATCAGAGAAGGCCCTAGGTCTGGTGGCACCGGTTGCAACATTATCTCAGTGCCTATGTTGTGTGATTCTCTGCATCTACAGAGACTTCTAGACAACCCAACTGACAACATTTCTAGCAAACCCTACTACAGCTGGAGCTGCCTCTGAGGCTGTTGCTACACCAAGTCTTCACATTTGGCCAGAGTCACAAATGAAATGTTGATCTGGGCTTTTCAGTGATCAGGTAGAGAAATCCAAGTTTGGAGATGTGTAAAAGAATTTGAGGCTAATTTAAATGGAGAAAATTTTAGGAAATACAGAGATGGAGGAATTATTGAAGACAAATGGCCTAGGGTGCTCCTGTTGTAGAAAAATTTCTAGAGGCCAACCAGAGACTCATTGTGAGGAGGAGAGAAGTTACAGAAAATTACCTAGAGATGATACATTGGGGCCTCAGTATGTCCCACAGAGAACAGACAGATGTCATTTAAAAGCTGAAAGATGGAAAGCAATAGAACCAGAACCGTGGGCTGAAGTATGGGATTTAGTCACAATGATATTTCTGCTCTGTGGTGTGCTGACCGGCCTCCATTAGCCCTATGGTCAAAGAGATGAAAACCCCATCTTTTCAACAGAAGCCTTAGTGGTAGCACTCAGGGTAAGAGAAATGTATGTTTGTTTCCCAATCTTTGAAAATATTGTGAATAGTGTGGCAAAAGCTGCTGAGGCACTCCCCACAGTTCATGGGAGCCCTTAGTATGAAAAGAAACATGCATTTATATCTTTCTACTGGCAGGGTACCTCGTGGTCTTTTGGACAAATGAACAGCAGGTGAAGGGAACACAAGATTATGGAGTGTTGTTTTAGGTGCAAGAGCTCTGGATCCAGGGAAAGAAGGGGAGTTTTGCAAGGACTGCTGACCTGAGCTCATCAGGGCAAGTGTTGACTTACTCTTTGCTTTCTCCTTCCAGTTCGAAGAAATCCCAGATTCCTCAAGGCTTGAAGAAGAGGGAGCTCTTGCATTCTGGAACAGATGTGGTACTTGAACTGACTGGAGATGATCAGGCCAGCACTCTTGGGTGCTCACTCCACCAGATGACTGGGAAGCTGACTGAGTGAAAGATTTCTGATCTGTTATTTGTGATAGTGTGGGACTAGGTGCCAGCATAATCTCTCTGGAGTTCTGGAAACCCAATTTTTGACTCTGTTCAAAAGGCACGCTGCATGTGGACAACCTTCCTAGATGAGAAGAGCTCTGTGATGCTCTTGATAAAGTAGGAGAGATCTGGTTGTTTTTACCCACAAGTAACTGCTGAATCTCCAGAGCCATGGCATTACAGATTTTACAGGAGGGATCTGCACACAGGAGCTGCCGCACACTTTCTTCGCGGGGAAGCCACCCCTGACTGGAAAGGGAAAGATGGAAAACTTAATGATGGGGACATCGCCCTCTTTGAAAGAATGTGGCCTGAGAGTTACCACCTCTCGCCCCAAGTTGTATGTGTTCTGCACCTATATACACTGTGGAAACTGAGGCCCTTAGGGGAGACCTTAGTTCTGAGACCCCTTAGGCATCCCTACCATGACATTCTGCATCTGTTGGGATTAGTCCCATTCTAGAAATCGTGAGAAGATCAGATTGACAGTGGTTGTGCACGAGTGTCCCTGGAACTGGCAGCAGCATCAGAATCCAGCCAGACCAGGACTCTTCCCCTGAAAGTCTGTAGCTATAAGGACTATATAGCAATGATGTGTTCTTCATTCAAAATATACTATTTTGTGGGGCAAAGGGTACTGGGGATTATCCCCAGGGTCTCTGCACTGAGCTACATAACAGCCCCAATTTTCCTTTTTTGAAAATGGGTCTCACTAAGTTGCCCCAAAGAAGGCTCAAACTTGTGATCTTTCCAGAGTTCTGGAACTACAGACATGCACCATCACACCCAGCCAAAATCAGTCATCTTAGCTGGATAATTAGCTTCATGGATAAGTGTAACCCCATGTAGTGTCTCTGATTAACAATACACAGATAAAATCTTGAATTGTAGAACTACCATGACCCTATCACAGTGCAGAATTGATTCTTTTCTCTTTAGATATCTAAACCACCCAGTGCCCTGAGAAGTCAATCACTGAAAAGCCCCAGTGGCATTTAGGTCTTCTTTCCACACTTCTCACCCATACTTCTCATCACTGACCCAAGGATAGGCCAAGAAATCTATAGTACAGGCTTGGAGTTCACAGATTACAAAGCAAAAAAAAAATCACCTTTTCATGAGAGACACTAGCTTCTGCAGTCTCTCAGCTTCGTTCTGGGAGGATTTCTTAGCTGAGGAACAAGAAAGCAGTAAGTAGACAGTAGAAGATTCAGGTCCATCCTACAGACAGCTGAAGGCCTTTGAATGAGAGGAAAATGAAAACCCAGGAATTTAGCCTCTATATCACGTCTATGTACCACTTAATCATTTACAACGTGGTGTTAGCACCTGATCTCATTTGATCTTTACAACCACTTAAGCATGAGGTAGGATCACTGGTACTATGACCAGTCTTAAGGAGAGCAAGACTGAGAGATGAAGTGACTTCCACAGGGATGTAAAACTAGCAAATGACACAGGTATAACATCTGCTCTACTTCTTCATTCTTCATTCTCAGAAAGAGAGTGTTGGAATGTTCCTAGCCTCTGATTTCCCACGCAAGTAAGTCTTCTGTTAGTTGTCTTTGGTGACTGATAGTCCTCAATAGTGAGAGCACCTGTGTTCTGGCACCACTTTCAGGGTTCGGTCAGTATCTTGTGAACCTTATTCACAGTGGAGGGGAGTGACAGGAGAGGTGGAAATTTTACCTCTTGATGTTCTCTCTCTAGAACTGTGTTTGACTCTTCGGTGATGCTTAAAGACAGAAATATTAGAATGTGAAGTTGGGTCATTTTCTTATGTCTAAAATTATACAAAAGCCATAAAAATTTCCTTATTTGTTTTGTTTCAGTTTTATACGTTTATACCTTTGTCATGCCCTATCCTTTTCATACCAGCCTTTCCCTCTCCACTCCTTTCTGACTCATTTTGAGCTTTTTCCATACTTCACATCTTTCACCCTCATCCCATGGAAAAATCCTATAGGGAATTCTAAATAAGACAGGAGGAAAGTGTAACCAATTACAAATGGGGTGATACCAATAACCAAAGGACTCTGAGTATTAAAGGCCATTAATGTCCACTAAACAGAATAATAACTCAAACTGACTCAAAGCTCTTCTGAGACTCAGTGAAGAACACCCTCCCACACACCACCATTAAAAAATGAAGGAGTGGGGTGTGGTGACACATGTGATCTCAGCACTCTGGGAGGCCAAGGGCTATTGCCTGGGCAAATTAGTGACTTAGTGGAACCCTGTCTCAAAATAAAAAAGGGCTTGGAGATAATTCAGTGAAATGGCCCTAGGTTTAACCCCCAGTAGTGAAAAACGAAAGAAAAGAGAAAGGAAGGGAAGGAGAAAGGTGGAGACGGGAGGAGAGGAGAAAAAAGAGAAGAGCAGTAAGGACATCAGCACAAAGTGAAGGGATGGAATCTTACTGCATGCTTATCATTCAATCACGGCCATAGTGTTTCCCTACCTGGCAACACTTCTTGCTAGGTGTCAATATTAATTTTTGGCGTCTTTTTTTCACTTGCCAAATTATTAATCCAATAATGAAGATGGATCCATAGGTATACAAGGAGTAGTCCACATCCCGCACAAGAAAGGCAGGGCTCAACATGATCTAAACCTCACTAGCCATCCCTCTTCCCAGGCTTCCAAGTCTTGGAATCTAATGCCCCCAGATTCTATACCTTGTCATCTCTGCCTCACAGATGATGGATCCAGACAGCTAGACTACATCATAAAGCCCTCTTGTTCCACCAACCAGGCATAGCATCACAGAGTTGTATTTGTGTTAGAGAAGCACATGAGGGTAATTCAGTTGTTCAGACCAGGATTTCTGGTTGTCTATATAGGCTGCAGAGCCTGGGATAAAAGGCACCCTAGTCACAGGCAACACATACCATTTCAAGTTCTTTCTACTCCTTGATCCCAATAGCTCACCTGTCTCTATTTCTACTATAACAGTGCGACACTTGTTCCCCAGATAACAGTGACTGCGTGCACTGTGTGGACTTTGGAGTAGTGCCTAAGTCAGAGGAAATCCAGGAAGTACATACATCATCTATATTAGGAAGATAAGAGATACTCAAGAAGATAAAGCAGGTATTATATGGTTAAATCTGGAACCTTATTTTTGACTCACAGGCATAGTGAATGGTTAGGATTGAGAGGTTCAGGAAGAGGATTATGGAAAATATGTCAAGGAAAGCACAAAGCTGGTGTCCTTTTACATATTTCTGAGAGTTAAAGTCCTGGCTGTGTGGTCTAGCTGAGAAGAGACTGTAAACACTGCCTTCCACAGAGGAATTTAATAAGGTTCATTTCTGTAGCTCTGTCTAAGGCTCAATTTTCCAGAATTGTCTCTACAGATCTTGTCACATCTGTCTTATTCATAGAAATAGGATATGTTAAAAAGACTTTTGATTAAGGGCCACAAACTTGTGGTTCTCTGGTTGAATCCACCCTGGTAGGGGAGAGTGTTCTATCTGTAAAGATTTTCTCCACTCAACACCAATACTGCTGATTCAAACATCAATGTTAACTTCATGGCCTCTTTTTTATATATAATAATAGCATTTATTAAGGAATATATAAAAGTTAAATAAAATGAAATTTTAAGATTTTTTTCCTTTGTACTCTGCAGCATCACTTTACACCCTCAGAGGAGCCAGCGTGCCCTACTTTGGACACCTCAAGTCATTGGTGTCTGAAGATTAATGTCTACATAATTCAATATTTCGTCTTGCTTTTATTCATTTGTTCATTTGATTTTGCAGTACTGAGGACGGAACTGAAGGCTCTTACACTGAGTGATGTCTTTTTTCATTTTGAGGCAGGATCTTGCTAAGCTGTGAACTTGTGATTCTTCTGCCTGAGTCTTCCGGGGGGCTGGGATTATAGGAACGGTCACCACTTCTGCCCATATTTATAACACTGGTAGTTCACATGGATTTTCACAGCCTCTTACAACATGATAGAATGCCTCCAATACTCCAAGGTTTCTCAGGTTCCTCGAGAAGCTCTTGCTGTAATTAATGAGTGGTCATAGGCCCCAAGTCTCTGAAAAGATCATTTAACCTTTGTGCAGCCCACATCCTTCCTCCAAACAAACATGGTGACCGCTCAGTATGAGCTCAGCTCTGAGTCAGACAGTGTTAAAGATAGAAAGACATCTGAGTTGTGCTGTCTGCCATTAAGATGATTACGTTTTGAAGATTAGAATAATTCATATGAAATAAGAGCTAACCTTACAGGGGCAGAAGGAGGGGGCAATAGGGACTTGTTTAATGGGTATAGAATTTCATTTCAGGTCATTGATATTTGTTTCTCAATAAAATTGTGGGAAAAAAAGAAGTAAAATAAATAAATAAATAAAAAAGAATTTCATTTCAGGGTGATAAATGAATTCTGCAAATGAATAATGGAGGTGATTGCCCAACACTGTAAGTGGCCTTCATGCCATGGAATTGCAGAGTTAAAATGGGGTTGTGGGTGTACCTCAATGATAGAGCAAGGCCCTGGGTTCAATCAGCACCACAGAAAAAAGATGAAGGTGGTAAATTTTGTATTAAGTATATCTTAACACAAAGCCAAAAGATCATGAACATGATCATTTCTACTAGCTATAAGGAAGAACATTTTGAAAATTATTTCATAAAGAAATAGATTTTTCTTAAATATCCTTTGTATAGATACAAAAATAAAATAGATCTTTACATTAAAGATAATTTAAGAAAAGCCACACATAAAATGAAATGATTTTAAGCCACTTTAATTTTTTTTAAATGAACATTCACGTTTCAAAATACAGGAACTTAATCAACCAAAGAGCACTAAATGCCAGGTTACTGAAATCAAGTAAAAAGCAGCTTGTGTCAGCTTTTCAGTAGCAGGTTAACTTAGGTAAAAGCAGCTTGTATTTTTTTATAGGTTGATTATCCCTAATACTAAAATCCAAATGCTTAAAAAAATTTTCAGATTTCAAAATAATACCACATGTGGAAAATTCCATACCTGAACTCATATGACATGCCACACTCAAAACACAGGCACACTGAAAATATTGTATAAAATAACCCTCAGATGATCTATAAAAGGTCTATATAAAACAAGTGAACTTCATGTTTACACTTTGCTCCTCCTCTTCTCTAGAGACCTCACTCTGCATACGAAAATATTCTAAAAAGAAAACAATCTGGAGTGCAAAATACTTCTTGGTCTCAACATTTTGGATAAAGTATACTCAATCTGTAGTACTTAAAAAAATAAAGATGACATTTTACCATGTTGCCCACATGAGTCTCCAACTCTGGGCTCAAAAGACCCTTCTACGTCCAGAGGGCTGGCACTACAAGCACCCAACGCTCTCACACTGACTCCCAGCCAGCCACCTCTAGGTTGTAGTAGCTTTTGCTGCTCCCTAGGCTGCTGCTGACAGCTGTCTTCCGTTCACCAGGCCTCTTGTCCCGGACAAAAGGAACATAGAAAACCTTGCACCTGCCAACCAGTGTGCTCCTGACCCTACTGACAACACAGCCACTGCTGTCCCACTGAGCTGTTCAAACCTCCTGCTGCAAATCCTTCTCCAGCAGCTTTCCCAGCCCCTGCTCCTGTCTCAGAGCTGAGGAGTTAGAGCTGTATGCTAAACTCAAAAGATTTCGCATCTTTTTTTCCCAGAAAAGCCTTTAAGTTTGTTTATTGATTTGCTCCTCATTATAGAGGGTGCCTGCAACAGGATGCTGGCATCAGAGTCTTTCTAAATAGGGGCACATTCACAGGACGAATGCGGCTCATCTGTCGTTCTTAATGATGGGGGTATTGTACGTCGGTATGTGTCGCCACCTTCACCCTTCCTGCCTCAAACCTTGATTGACAAACAAAGAAATACATGAAAAGCTTCTGTGAACTACTCAACTGTAAAAATATTCTTATTCATTCATTTTTAGGAAACTTGTTTAAAGTCAGACCCTGCTTTCATTAGAGTGCTGCAGTCCACAATTATTGTTATTGAATTTCTCCATGAAACTGTTCATGGCTACTGATTTATAAATATTATGGATCATATAGCCTTGCCAGATAAACTCCTGAAATGCCACTGATGTGAGTCTTGTGCCTCTACAGCAGCCTTTGGAAGGTCTCAGTGTCTCATACTCAGACAATACTACTGAGCAGGTAAAAGGTAGCAATAGGTTGGAGGCAAACATACATAATCTCTGCCATTCAACAGCAAGACTTTTATATATGAACATCTTTGTTCATGCCAAAGGGCCAAGATTTGCAGGAGTTGAACAAGAAACCCTAGAGTATTGTCAGGCAGGAAGATTAATGTACTGTGCAGCAATGAAGTGGGCAATGGTAGGTGGCAGCCAGAGGCACTAGAGGGCAGCACCTGCCCACCCAGTATTTCTAATCCTAGGCAGGCTCAAGGGGAACAGAACTTTCCATGAAGTATTGATATGTTAAACTTTAAATCCCTACAGAATGTGAAGATAAATAAACAAATAAATAAAATATTAAAATAAGAATAAATAATTGCATATTTTACACAGAAATTTAGAAATCTAACTATATACAACATTGTAGCAGGACAGTCCTATGACATTTTTTTCTTGTATCTTTTCATTTATTGCCCCTTTTTTGTTAAACAAACATTTACTTGAGAGACAGTATAGCAGTAATTGATATGACATTAGAAGCACTATGTATTTAGAAGACCAGAATGATAGAGATTCCAAGCATGGACCTAGTATTACACACTGCTATCTTAGGTGCACATTGATGATGTACAATGAGCCTAAGGAGAGTCACTTAGAGAGAAAACATTCTCTCAGGCTTTCACAGAGAGCAAATTGGTCAAGCAGTGGCTGTGACTCATCCACATGGCTGACACTGACAAAGGATCTGCAAACTGAAGTACAAGGTTTCAGGGTAAATCCTGAGGGGATTTGACTGACCTTGTCAGATACAAAAGTTACATTTCTTGTTATATAGGTCTTGCTTTATCT